TCGTCGTGTGTGCGGTTCTAAACAGTTCCAAGAAATAACAGGTATAGATAAACAGTAGGCTCAATCATCATAGCGCAACCACCGATACAGTCGAGATGAAAAGTAACAGACAGTTTTAAGCAAAAAACTAATTTTTTAATTTGTAATACTTGAGGTTGTAATTAGCGATGGGAACTATCGAATGAATTAGACTATCGAATCATTACTGAATGAATGATTTCAACTATCGAGTGGTTTTATTCGAATAAAACCATTCATTCATTTGTATACTAAAGCATATGTGACAACCTCGCCGTGCGACTAAATGGTTATCGTTGCGCCACGACTATCGAATGCTTTTGATAAATGAAATTTAGTATTCGTTTGATTTATGTGTGCGTCAGTGCATTATTAGTTCTTCCAAATTTTTATAACTTCGCCTTGTAAATACTATGCTATTTTTGCGTTTATTAAAATATTTAAAATACTAAAATAGTAGTTTTTTTTAATTGACGATTGTGTGCGAAGTGGTCAAAATTTTTCCGAAAATTTGTGTGATTTTCCGTAGCCCGATCTTTCAATTATTTAATTTTAAATTTTATATGGTATATTATGGTTAGGTTAGATTGCATTTTTTTAATGGGAAATTTTGAGAAGTAGCAATTTTTAAGAGGGATGAGATGAACTTACAATTAATTTTAAAAATACATATTTGTATTTTAGATGTTTTAATAATATGAATTAGTTGAACTTAATCATATTTAAGTAATGTGGTTAAGTAAATGTGGTTATCGAACTCAAATTTTGGACTGAGAAAATTAAATTGAAAGTTTTACACGTGCCAATTTAAAAAAAAAGTTAACAATGTTTGTATTTTGTTTATGCTAATTCTCTTACATGTAGTTTTTTTGCGAAGAAATATTTCATTTATTTTTTAAAGTAAATGCCAGCAAAAGTAAATATTATTTTTAAATAGTAATATAAAGTAATAAAAAGTAATATAAATAATCTTGATTTCTAATTTTTTATTTATATTTTCCTTCCATTACACTGCATGCTTAGAAAATTAATAAATGTTTATATTTCATAATTGTTGTTGAATTTGTTGTTAATATAACAAATTAGTTCTGTAATTATTATTATTTAATAAACCAACGTTGCCATTTAGAGACTATATTATTTTTAAATGGTATCTAATATAAATACTTTTGACTTCTATTTGTTGTTTATATTTTGCTACTACTTAAAATAAAGTAAATTTTGTTGTTAATAGGTATAACAAATTAGTACTGTTATTATTATTTATTAAACCAGTCTTTGCTTAAAAACATTAAAAATCATTTTCCTACATCCAAAATAAAAAGTATTATTGCAGTGTAACAACAGAATATTTTAATTTAGAGACAGAATAATTTTCTTTGCTAATACCAACTAATACGAATATATGGCAACAGCGCCCTTCATAATATAGTTTCTGTGTAAATACTAGCACCTCAATAAAAAAAATAATGTATCCTTATCTTTATTTCACTCCGCAAAAAATCAAAGATGCCGGCTTCTTTCATATCATTGCCACCGACCGCTGTCGGGTTTCTAGGAAAGAAACCTACGTCGCCGGACGACAATTAAAATCCAGTTTATATTTTATTAAAATCCATCCTGACGAATAAATGAATTTGATAAATGAATGGTTTTTGCTGCCGAATTACTAGAATACAATATTTCAAGGCAGATAACGCATCTATTCGATAATTTTTATTCGAATAGTTTTCGTCGACTGTTTTCTTACTAGCTATCGAATTATTCGAATGAATTGCAACTATCGAATGTTTCGATAGTATTCATTCGATAGTTCCCACTACTAGTTGTTATACTTTCAAGGTTATTTTAAAACGTTCCAACAGTCTGAATTTATTTCAGTAGCTTCAAAGCAATGTTTTTTTACCTGGTTAGAGGTATATTTTGGCACCGGTACTTTTGCATAAAAGAAAAATTGTTAACAAAGGTAGCAAAAATATTAAAGAAATTTAAAAATCTTAATGAAAATAACTTAAATAAAAAAGTCCTCTGCTAGAATTGTTTTGAGCGAGTTATTTTTACCATTTGCTTTCTGCACTTAATGTTCTTTATTTTATTCAACTAACGTAATTTATACGCCATGGACATCGCCAACGCCTAGTCATGGAGATCGCCAACGCCTGAAGACAGGCACGGCACCGCAAGAAGAAGAAGAACGTAATTTAATTTATAAAAAAATAAAATAACAAGATATCCCATTTAAACAAAGTTTGATGCATATTTCGAAAATGACAACTCCCAGCCAAAAACTAGTAGGTCGGCATACACTGAAATTTATATTATCAATATGAATGAATTTGTATTAGTATTAACCTTGTTTATATATTAATAGTTAGTCAATGTGCCTGTATAAGTCGATGCTGCCAACTGGTGGCAGAAATTAAAACGTAAAAAGGGGCGGAGACTATTGAATTTGGCAAAGAAGTAGGGACTAGGAATTCTTCGAATTTAATTCTCGGTAAAGAATAAAATATCTTATCTGCTTTGAACCGAATTTTTTACCTCAAAGCGTTATTTACATTTTTTATTTTTGGATATGGATTTATATTTATTTTGATTTTCATGGCCCCTTGTTAAATACTAAATTATTATATTAGGTATATATATATATATATATATATATATATATATATATATATATATATATATATATATATATATATATATATATATATATATATATATATATATATATTTTATTTCTAGATGGATAATTAAAAAAATATATGAAACTATACCTACCTACCTCTGTAACTTTGTAAAAAGTATGACGGATTTAACATAATGTTTTTTTTTAAATGTAACATCCTATTTTATTTTAGATCCTGCGTAAAATTATTACTTTTTTATGTATAATCCTTGTATAATGGTGTAACCTAAAACTAGTTTTCTAATATTTCAATTTGTTGATGAAGAAAAAATATTAGATACTATGTAGATATTTAAGGCAGATGCTACAGGGTGTTCAACATATATTAATGGTTAATTCTACGTATTTAAAATTAAAAAAATATCTGCAGACTCTTTCAATGACACAGCCTATACTGAGTGTTTTTTTTTAAAGTGGTTCACCTCTATAACTTTTTTATTTTTTCAGATTCCGAGAAAAAAACTAAATTGGGAATGTTAGTAGGTATATGACATAAATCGAGATTGATTCGTATTCAGTTAGTTTCGGTCACTTCCTGTTTCACCGGAAATGTATACATTTGATTTTTAAATGGTACCCTCGGTATTTTTTATACCGTAAGATCGAATAAAAACGGCGTCAGCGATGGCTATGAAATGAACATCGATGACATTTCTCATATAAATTTACATATAAAATGACAGCGCTTTTCATTTCATAGCCATTGCTGACGCCGTTTTTATTCGATCATACGGTACTTTATTTGATAGAAAATGACATTCTGAATAGAATGACAACTTTTGACATCAACAATCATATGTCAACTTTTGACATTTTCAATTAAATCAAAAATAGCATTTTAAAATTCAATCTAGTGTCATGGCTGTGTTAAAACCATTATTTTTTAATCAAGGATTAATCAAGGAGCTTTGGAAAAATTGATTTGGTCGTCTAATATTTTTTGTGTCTTTTCCTGGTCAGTTGAAATATGCCCATTTCGTATTTTAATCATAACTCAATTTTTTTTAATGAAACGAGAGTGGCTCATTAGCATATTTGGAAAAGCATTTTTTGATACCTAATAAATTTTGGTACCTAATTTTGGTAAATAATTTGGTACCACACACTCCGTATGTCGAGTCAAACTGTCGTTATCTTTACGACCGGTTACATGTTGTTTATTATCATGGCACTCTACTAGATTGAACTTTAAAATACTATTTTTTAAGTAAAAGAGTCAAAAGTTGACATTGAATTATTCTATTGAGAATGCCATATTCTGCAAAATAAAGTAAAAAAATACCGACGGTACCATTTAAAAACCAAAAGTTGTAGTCATTTCCGGTGAAACAAGAAATGACCGAAACTAATTGAATACATCAATCAAGCTACTTTTGAAAAACACCCGATATATTATAATTCTTTCTGATAGATTTTACAAAATCCTTCAACTTCTATTAAGAATGTCATATAACTAAATAAATCACTTTACTTAATGTTTAATAATAAATAATTTTTGTTTTGTCATATGGCAACTTGTTATAATGTAAATGAATTAAAAGAAGGATAAAATTCAGAACAGATTGCAAGCTGTTGAGTATAGGTGTACTTAATATACTTTCTTAACAAATGTTGAAAGGTTTTGTAAAATCACTAGAAAAAATAATAATATATATATCGGATCAGCCAAAAAAAATGTTTGAACACAGTGTAGCATCTAACTGCAAGTATTTTTACATATAAATATATTTTTTTTTCATCTCTGTAAAACACTCCTACCAAATTTGTGTAGTCCAACTTCGGAAACAACTGACAGTTAAGTAACATAGGAATAAAATTTTACTTTTTTTTTAAATTGTAAATACTTACTAACGTTATTTATAAAAAAAAGTTATAGAATTTTAGGCAGAATCGAAAATAAAATAAAAATGGAGTTTTGCATTAAAAAACATGTATCCGCCACATTTTTTGAAGCAACCAGTATACTCAAAAATAACATTTGAACTGTGTCTCTAAAGATTCTCTATACCCTTTTTTTTATTTTTTTGGAATTCCCAAAACAAACGAGATAATTAACTTTATTTCTTTCGTGATATCTCATTTTATAATATTTCGGAAGAATTAATCAGGTATCTTATTTTTATAATTATTAGAAATAAATCGGAATTAAAGGATAAGGGATATGTAAATATATACCATACGATAAAAAAAAACGGCCTCAGAGGTGGTTTGGAAATGAATATCGATGTCATTTGTACGTAAACAAATAGACGCCGTTTTTTTTCGCTCATACCGTATAAGAAAAAAAATTTAATAAAGCAAACGCATTTATTAATACATGTATATAGATTTACATGGTATGAAGAAATTCGCATTATGATCTCTGAAGGTCCCACCAATGCTTGGTTAAAGTGGCGAGTACGACCACTTAGCAGTCACACCTATAATAATTTAATAAAATATGAATATAATAAACAAACTTATTTCTTTTAGATTTTTTAAAAGCGAGTTATATGTGTTAAGTGGTTTTTGATTATTTTAGCTAAATTTTTTAGACATATTATTTTAGACCAAATTGTCTGCCCACTCAAACGTCTTCAAAATTATAATGTAGGAAATTCTTAATATGTTTTAATTGGGAATACTTTTAGAAAGTTTCATTTTCACCAAACAAAACTACGTATGTATAATAAATTGCAGTATAATCAACTATAATGCATGATATATACTAGGGGCGTCAAAACTAGATGTTGGGTTTTTCTCGATTATTTCGAACAGAACTCCAATTTTTCTCAAAAATTTTTTCCAACTTTGTTTTGAAAAATAATTTTTAAATCCATAATCGATGTATATACAGTAATGTCCTCTTTTAGAATACATAATTATTTTCAGCTGCATCGATAAAATAAATCATATTTACTGATGCCAAGTAAAAAAATAATTAGAAAATTATTTTAAACATCTAATTCTTAATTTTTGTCGCTGATAAATAGATACATCACTTTTGTCGACAAACCTACTAATAAAAATTGCGTAAAAAATCATGTTTATTCGCAAAGAGACAATTGAAAATAATTTAATAACTATTAATTTGGGATATAGATCTTAATAAAACAAAAGTTGCATAAAAGCTTTGTTGATTTATGATATAAAATACAGTGTTTCATTTGAAATAGCAAAGAAAAATATAATATCTAGTTTTGACTCATCCTGTATATAATAATCAATTTAGTCTATTTTAATATTATTATATGAATTATATAATTATTAATTATTAACTTAAATTAGTTCCAGTAAAAAACGTCGATATTACCTATTTTTAACTTAACTTAGAAAGAGGGCTTTAAATATATATTTTATTATATAAACAATAAAATTCAATCCAAAAAGGGTCAAAATATATTCTTTGGTCAAAATGAACTCTATACGACTACGACATTATGGTATTTTTTGGAATGACAATTTAATAACAAATCCACCAAGCAAAAATACAAAATATAGCCTTTCATTTCACAAACTCATAACCTTTGCTCATAACTAATAACTTTAAAAGTAAATATATATTTGAATCATCCTGTATATCTATAAAAATACCTCCCTGTCAAATTTACGCTACTTTTGCAAGCATATTTTGCAAAAAATATGATTTGAGTGAAAATATAAAATAGGAAATCTGATATGAAGCTTTATCTAAACACAGTGTTGACTGTAGATAAACAATATTTTACGTTATCAAGTTATTAAGAAAAATTCTCGGAAAAATTATAAAATACACAATATATCTGACAATTCCAAAAAAGCAAAGTGAGAAATGAAACAATTTATAGCATAAAATCAGTATTTTTTAAACTTTTAAGCAAACTGGGCATTATCGTTTAATCTATCTATCAATCTATCAAATGTTTATTATTAAACTTATCTCAGACTCTATAACATTTTTCCCAAGAGTGATTTAAAACAAATTTATATGAATTTAGAAATAAATATGAACAGTATTTACTTACCTGTAAAACAGATGCTTTTTGCTTAATTAAATATGTTGGAAAATATTATCCAGTAGGTACAAATACACAACACTTAAACACAACAAAATAAATTAATAAAATAATAGTTTCTAATCCAAATTTCACAAATACTGTTTATGTTTCTTCGCGAGGGACGAAAAAACTGAATTTTTTAATTACTTAGATATGCATTAAGGTATATTTCAATTCAAAAGCTTATAAATATTTATTTTTATAAGACATAACCTAAACGAAACGAAATTACAAGTCGAGAAAGATCAACAAAACTGCCGAATTTAGAAGCGAATATAACTTTTTCCTCTCTTTTTTCTTGTCACAGTTGAAACAAACAAGGATAAAGCTATTTTCTTAAAACATGGGTGAAACGTGCTAATAAGTGGCCCAATAGATGTGACCTCGCGCCCTTCCATTTTTGAACGATGGGCGGGTTTAACGGATTCCCCTCAAAGAAAATCGTAGGGGAATACAAAAATTCAGAACGGGCAAGGCGCCACCTAGAAGACGGGCTTGTACTAAGCCCTCATTGTACATCTATTTATACATAATCAAGGGTATTAATGTCTGATAGTTTCAGTAATAGACTAAAAACCCTTCCGACTACTTACCAATCCGTTATTGCCCTTCTCCGCCTCTGCACAAACACCTCGCTTGTCGCCTCTATGCACAAAACGATCAGCTTCTTGTCGCACGTCACGGGCGTCTGGTCCAGCAGCCTGGGACCCCTCAGGCTACCCGCCAGACCCACCTTGGACGACGACGAGGTCTGCCAGGCGTCGCAGGACGTGTCCAGCGCCCTGGTGCCGTCCACGAGGGCGCCGTGCCACACGGACTTGATGGGCCACGACGGGTCTGTCATTACGTTTTTACCTGTTGATGAGATAAAAATGGTGTCGTTAGTTGTGAGGTTTAAGTATTTTACAAAGACATAAAAAATGATATTTCTCATTTGCGGTTAAAAGACGCCAAAGATGTCTATTTATTTCATCTGAAAATACACTTCAAATCTTTGAAAAAAGTATTTTTAGTTCTCTATGCACATATACGGGCCTGAATTTTGTAACTTGAAAACGCTAAGCGCTCAGTGTATATGACGTTAATTTTCGCATAGCGCGCACTTAATTACAGATTTGGGTATTCTCATCTGACGCGCTTAGGTCTTTACCCATTGAGCAAAGCGATTTGAAAACGGCTACCTTAAAGGATAGTTTTGCTTGTCGAACTGTCAGTAAAAATAGAAAAAATTGTGATTTTGTTCGTTCTCTTGCTCTTTAGTGAAAACAATTTCTTCTATAAATTCCTCAATAAGTAATTGATAATTTACGACTTGGCAGCTATAAATATTATTCAAAGCACCGAAAATGCTAAGACGCGTCTTCAACATTTCTCTCGTATAATAAGAATAATGACATCCATATACACATAGGTTGACATAACTCAACAATAGTTTATGAAATTCACGTAACATCGACATTTTTCATTTATTCACATTTAAATGGCCCTTTACACGTTGGCCAATGGCGACCCAGACCATTTTGGCGCCAAGACATTATGGCGATTAACAAAAATATATTAAAACTAAAAGAGTTTCGGACTTCCATTGTCTTTATTTATTTTGCTTACACAACGTTTCGGTCAGAAGAATCACTGTCCATCAAGTGTGATCTAAACTAAATCCTAAAACTACTGAGCTTATATATTAGAGCCTAGCGTAGTAGTTTTAGGATTTAGTTTAAATCATACTTGATAACGGTCAGTGATACTTCTGACCGAGCTTCTAACCGAAACATTGTGTAAGCAAAATAAATAAAGACAATGGAAGTCCGAACTATTTTAGTTTTAATACTGAATCATTGTGAACCATATTCAAGGTAACAAAATATACTTGCATTAGTAACAATATTTTGATTAACAAAATTTAAACAATTTTTTTCTCTTTAGTTAAAGTCGTCATCAATAATGTCAAGGGTTTTTTGCACTAGTGCAAAAAGTAATTTTTTTGTTGTGTTGTCAGTATTTAAGTAAGAATTTTTGTGTGTTGTCAGAATTTAAATTAACAGTGGTATTGTTGTTAAAAGAGGCTATAGAATAGTTAGTTGTGCAGAGTGTACCGCATCTCGGTCAAAAATGGAGAGAAATAATAGTTCAGTCATTGGGGATTTATGCTTGGAAAAGAGTCAGGAAGTTTTGAAACTTTGTAGGTTTATAGGTTTTGGGGTACCTAACTAAAATCCATAAAATGCACATTTCCAGACTTGCCGTCGGCGCCGCCATCTTGCCAAGATGGCGCCCAAAATCTGTATTTTGTAAATATCTCGAAAACTATGCGTTTTTCGCAATAATTTGAAGATAGCAAAATTAAAGAGAATAAAATTTCCTATAAAAAAAGCGAACATTTTCTAATAAAATTTTCGCTAAAGTCAACCGTTTAGGCACAAAATCCCTGGAAATTTTACAATTTTGCTTAAAATATGATACCTATATGTATAGTCGATTCCCCGAAATGAAATGTCGATTAGGGTTCACTAAAACTAGTTTTAATTTAGTTTCTTCAATTTTGTCATGAAACAGTGGCGTATCATTAATTCGCTCATTAATTTATGAATAATTAATTTTAATTATTGAAAATGTGTACTTGTTTCCACACCACCCAAGAGGTAAAGTACACGGCGCGTTTATTTTAACGTGGTCTCCCTGGAGGCCTCCTCCACTAGGTAAATTAAAAACTTTAACTTATCTGCACAAGCCCGACGGACCTGGCTCATTGATGTCAAAGTCGATCGTGTCTGCTGTGCTGAGCTCATCAGGGTGGTCTCTCAATTCGTCCAACTCTTCATCTTCAGGCGCCAGAGGGATATCTACAGACAAATCCAGCTCCTCTTCATCAGATTCGTCGAGTGACACTTCAGTGACGTTGTCACAGAATTTCCCATTGCAGTATGCACAAATCATTGAACATTTTAATCCTGCTTTTCTGCATCCACAGGCTTTACCACAGTTGTTGGTTTTGCATTTACAGGATAAAAATGCCAATAGGGATTTTGGAGCTGGATCTGTCAACGTTGTGACTGGAGTACTGCCTCTTTTTGTTTTCTTCCAACCCCATTCTTCGGCATCTTTGGTACAACCAGACCAATGCTGAACCTGGTGGTAAGTTCGCAATGAATGCTGTCCAGCATGACAATTAATTATTCATAAATTAATGAGCGAATTAATGACACGCCACTGTTTCATGACAAAATTGAAGAAACTAAACTAAAACTAGTTTTAGTGAACCCTAATTGATATTTGATTTCGAAAAATCGACTATACATAATATATCATACTTTACGCAAAATTGTAAAATTTCCAGGGATTTTGTGCCTAAATGGTTGACTTTAGCGAAAATTTTCATAGAACCTTTTTTACAGAATTTATAAATTTTATTCTCTTTAATTTTGCTCTCTTCAAATTTTTGCGAAAAACGCTTAGTTTTCGAGATATTTACAAAATACCGATTTTGGGCGTCATCTTGGCAAGATGGCGCACAGTGCTTCGTCCCATGGACAAAAATCGAAAAAACAGTTAAAATTTACTAATATCTGAATATGTAATTTTATACTTGTAGCAATGTTCAACCATCCTGTATATTATTTTTCATAAACAGCGTTTGTTGTTGGCAAATATTTTCACTAAAAATAAATTTTGCGATCATTATCTTATATCAGTGAAAAGAATAACATTCATATTAGTTCTGTATATGGAGTTAAACGGTACGTACTTAATTGAAAGCCACTATGGATATTGTTAAACAAGGTATGTACTTTAAATTTATTCCTAAACAAGTTCGTTATTGTTTAGTTTTTATTTATTTTTTTAAGATGATTCTTAAAGGGTATAAAAATGTTACGTTTTCAAACTTCAAAAAGTCATAAAAAAAAAACATATCAAAACATATCGTGTTTATTGAATATTTTTGTTGCCATATTCATACACTTTTAATTTTTGTATAGTTCACCTGCGTCCGCTTGCGACGAACTTTATTTTTTAATACTTTTCAGATGGAGTAAAATTGATAAGCAATGCCGATCTGGTTAATATTTGGCTTAATCATAAGGACAAGAACTCAAAATTATTTATATTTCAAAAAATGTGTTCTTTATTAGATATTGATGAACCTTCCATTCCAATTTGATAACCACTTGTGCCTGAGCCCACTATGTTGGAGCGAAATGTGGCATAAAAAATGTTTCCCCATCTTTCAATTTATTATAAAACCTCATACCCAAGAAAACGAAAAAATAATATATGGATATGGTCTATTAAAGAGGTAACTATTAACATCCGAACCCCTCATACGAACAAAAAGAACAGTAACAACGCGAAAAAGTAACATATTAGAAAATGATGTACAGAAATATCTTATATGTGAGGATATTTCATCTACCTGTGATTTGGATACTATAAATTTGGAAGGTTCTGTCAGCAATGATTCTTCTGAATCAGAGTAGTTACGATCTATGCATTTTGTTGTCCTAAAGTAAATTTATAGTATCTTAAGTTTTTTTTTAATTAAATATAACATTAATGTTTCTTTTTCATTAAAGAAAAACATTTTTATCTTATATTAGGTTTATATTGTAGGAATCATGTTCTAATGTTATTCCAATTCTTTTTTATCACAGGCATTTATTTAATACTTACACCGCTTTCATACTATAAATTATTATTTCCTTAAATGGAACACAGCTCCAACATTTTTATTATTTATAAGATTTTTTTCATAAACGTGGGACTAAGAACATCATCATTTAGTACAATGAGAGTACTCATCATTTGTGTCAAATAAACCTAGTTTGAATAAATTGCCTACAATAAAAGAGAAGTTTTGCATTTTTGTCCTCTAGAGCCATATGTTGGAAGCACTGTGTGGCGGTGCCGCGCCGGCGGCAAGTCTGGAAATGTGCATTTTATGGATTTTAGTTAGGGACATCAAAACCTATAAACCTGCTGTTAAATTAATTTCTAAACTTATCTCTAATTTAAAAGGTTTTATAGCACTTACTTTGGGAGATAGCAATAGTGGCATAACCTAAATTCTGAATTAGACACCCAATATAATATACGTTACGTGTAAGTAAACAAATTAATTATGAAAGTCACTTAGAATTAACTAATTTATATGTTGTCTTGCAAATTTATTTCCCAAGTCGAATACTATAATGAGGATACGTTAACCATATTAATTTGCCATCGCGATTCACCTAAGTTTTTTGATTTGCTCCTTCTCTAATATTTTTATGCAAAGTTTGAAATTATGGTCCATAATTTTTTTATTAATTTGAACTGTAATAATTTTAAATAGAAATATTATAAACATAATATTTACCACTATATGAAAATATTCTTGGTGGATGTGGGAATGGAGCAGCATCTCCACTGAACATCTCAGCCCACGAATTGAACAAAACTTCACCTCTCAGATTACTGACAGGCAGTTTTCTATCTGCTTGTCGGACTATCGAGTCGACATTTTGGGTCCTTGATGACAGGAATGCTCTAAAAGAATAATATAAGTTATTTTTAGTATTTTTAGTATTATAAATCCAATATAGGAATATAATGGGAGGGGGGCAATAAAGTGAATCTAATACGTATTGTGTAATCACTTTATTGTCTCCGATTTTTTCGACAAGTTAAGAAAAACAAAACCTGTCTAAGGTCACATAATAATTGTTATAAAATATCATATCGAATAAATAAATCGATAAAAAAACCGTTGTCTAATTGGCTTGGAAATGTCGATCGATGGCATCCTTCATACAATTTTACATATAAAGTGACAGCGATATTCATTTCATAGCCGATTTCCTTTTACCGTTTATAAGCTCACCGTACAGAAGAGACTTCGGTAGGCGTTTTTCCTGCATCCTGCATACGTGACTAGTCCATCTTAAGCGGGTTTTAGTAATCAGCGCTCTCTTCAGCGCTCTCCCAGCTAGCTTTTTGAAGGATCGATACTTTTGAGATATGGTGATACCATTTGATTCTTAACAATTGTCTAAGGTCTAAGGTTTGTCAACTTGTTTAAAGTTTTGTCAACTTGTTTAAAGTTTTGTCAACTTGTTTAAAGCTAAGTTTAATTTATGTTTATTACTTTAGCTTCACATTTCAGTTGTTTGTACTTTTAATAATACGATAACACCATAAAATATATATGTTTTTAAATTCTATGGGTTTCTTAGCCAAGTTATATTTCTGTGTCAAAAATTCCTAAAAAATGCGTTTTACTTAATTTTTATGTCCGTTCTTATTAATTTGTTGAAAATTAATAAAATTGTTTGTTCACAAGTTTGAATATATTTTAAACAGTGTTAAAATAACAAGCTTTTTATAAAATCTCTTCATCATGTATTTTTAACTGAAAAAAATTGCAGCATGCTATAAGCGGTACAAAAATTCACCACACCAGTTGAGGGTTAAGGCTCAAAGCCTTGTATGCCAGGTATGTGTGTTCAGCATTTCCTGTTATTGCTGTAATGTTTTAGCAGTCCGCCGTCGTATCTGTATCTAATGCCCATTCCTTTTTCCTGCAGTTTGCTTAGTTGCACTATAATAGAGAGCGCTGCCATGATGAAAAAATAATATTACTGATAACAGAGTTATTCTAGTAATACGGATTCCTTACTAATACGGCGGTAACTGTTCCGATATGTGTCCGGATGCAAGTTCTACTGTATTTTACATTTTATGTATTATTTAAATGGAAAAATGGTGCTATCCGCTTTATAATTAACTATATGTGGTCTATATGAAACTGTAATGGCAAAATTCTCAAACAACAGATTCGGTAGTTTTTTAATCGTTCAATTCAAAAGCGTCGCTCTGTGCGTGTGATAAGCGATATTTGTTGAAATTATCGACAAATATCAATTTGTTCCCATAAATGTCTGGTCCATTTACGTGCGTAATTCTTCAGTACGATTAGTAATAACAATCGATTTTGGGGCAGTTACAGATTTTTTATTACACTGATTTATGGAAATATCTGGCAATAGCAATTTTTCTCGATTAACGTTCAACAAATATACTCGTTCGGACAACTAAATTTTACACGATATATATGGCAGAGGAGCAAGAGTTTTTTTGGCTCCACATCACTCACATTGTAAAATTTTCCCGACATTTTAACATTTTTGAAAATTAAAACCTATTATACTGAATTAAGATTGATGTACATTTACATGAGAATGGATTCGACTAGTAGGCGTGATATCCTGATTTTTTCGTGATTTTGTCAAATACTTTTTTTTAATAGTTGACACCGCTAACTTCGTACAGTCTGACAATAATGTGAAAGTTGTTTTGTTAGTCTTGTGGTACAAATGATTGATGGCCGAATGATCTGGATTTAGTGAGACCAATTGATTTGACAGTAGTTGACATTAATTCTTCATTTGACCTCTATATTGTTTAGATTTCGATTCAAGTATTTTCTATATATTTTAACAGCTTCCTAAATTTGAATATTATATTCTCCCACTATTTCCCATTGAATTTTTATTCTATAATCTGGTGCAACGACACACAACGAAACGCAGACATAGGACATCCCATGTAAATTTTAAGAAGATGAAATATTATCTCCCTAGATAATTTTATGTAAAAGTTATATTAATATTTTTTTGAAGAGGAATTAAAGTTGTATTCTTGTCTAGAAATTCGTTTTATTTTGAATCGGCATTTAAAAGTCATTTGCAAAAAAATCAACCTTCAAATTAGTAAAATTTATAATACGGTCCAGAGCCTAGATCATATATACTTACGTGGATAAATCAACGCCATAAGTTTAGCATTAAAAAATATAGTCTCCAACATCACGACATGCCATTTTCAAACTTTCTTTATTGCATTTATGAAACGTTCAATAGGCTTGTCTTTCTCGTGGTCCTTACTTCGCGCATGCGCAATAAAAGTTGCACGTATTTCCAAAATAATCACAATTTTATACGGTTTAGAAAGTACAAATTATACATTGTTATGAAAACCAAATTTTCATTGTCATCATATTGTCATAATCATATGTCATAGTAATCTTATTTCCATTGTGTAACGATGCTTGTTTTTTAAGTTTTTTATTTTAAAAATTGTATTAATTTCTCTTTTATCGACCGCTTTTATATAGCCAAGGATGCAAGTGTGTTCAGTGAGAAATTAATTTTAAGTTTGTGCAATTATATTTCTATTTTTTTTTCGTTGGACTTTAAAAATACTCGTAAAAATCACTAGAAATTGTGTGTGAAAGTTCTAATATAAAGGTCCCCGAATTATCTTTTCATAGGCAAGTAAAGTATTCAGTTGTTCTTTTATTTATATTAAGAAACATGCATACTTTCTGGTTAGATTTCCTAAGAATATTGATATTCGTACGGAGTGGCTAAATGTATTTTTTATATAATTTAATTTTTGTAACTGTAACCATTCAATTTATTGTTCAAATATAAGCATTTTACAAATTAAACTTTTAAAATTAATGTTCAAATTTGGCGCGCGGACGATAGGTCCTCGGCAAGGATAGATAGAATAGATGCACTGCGTGTGCAACAAAAAAAGAAGATAAATGGAAGTCGCTGATATGTTTGCGACAGTTTCCATAGTGATTTACTTATCCACGTAAGTATATATGAACTAGGGTCCAGAGAAAGCTACAGTTAAAATGTTAAAATGTCAGCAAAAATAAATGTGAGTCTGTCATTGTCAAATTCATTGTCACATTTTGTTTAGAGAATTTAGTTTTTGAGAATTTGAAAGTACCAAATAGAATAATTTTGTATAAATTAATTATGATTTTCACAACTTCTAAGAAAGTTAGATGATTAAACAGCATTTTGCTGAAATAACATCCCCGCTGTGTTAGATATGTTCGCAGTTCAGTCTCCGGACAACCCTATACATAGTAAGTCATCAGTTTAAAGAATAAACCAGAGGCTTAAAAATAAAGGTACGATATTAAGCACATGGTGCATAAGTGCAAAGACAAAATAATGGAAGAAAAAAAGACAGACTTTTCTTCTTGGTTTGAAGAAAAGAAAAATATTGATTCCCGTCTATTGGGGATACAGTAGGAAAATACTTTATGGGTTTGTAGAATGTAGAATGTTTAGGAGGGGAGTTAATCACCGCGACCCTACAGATTTATTGTGTGTTCCCCTTTCTTGAGTTATAACGAGTTTTAACTCATCATACAGTCTCAGGCCTTTAACAAAAGCCAGTATCTGGGACGGCTCTTCATCCTCGACATCAGCCGTACCAAAGTTCATGGCACGAACGATCGTTGTCTCGACGCACTCAGTGATAAGGTGTTCAGGTGTTTCCCCATTTTTCCCACTGAATCTGCATTCGCCGTTGTTTCTCAGCTTCAGGCTACTGAGGTGTTCGTCGAGAAGACAGTGTCCTGTTAGAAACCCCGTGACAATACAAAGATTGTTTTTACTTAAATCAAGGGAAATCTTTGATTTTTCAAATCTAACTTTTTTCCCATTCCAGGTTAGGATGGAGTCTTCCAGGTTCTTTATGGGCATATTAAATACATAAATTTAGATGAACTGAAAACGACATATCGGTGAAATGTTAAAATTTCTCCCCTGAATCATTTGGGGTATTATTTGGCTGTGTATGGGGGATCATGTAAACATTTTATTAATTAGTATAGTTGTTTAACAAAGTTCCTTTAGATAAAAATATTTCGATTATTTGTTAAATTATTGTGGATGTATGTGGTATGAGTGAAAGATCTCAAATACATATCGAAATATTGGAGATTGTTTTTCTAAAGTGTATGTAAAATTTTAATGGCAAAATTCTTGCTCTAGAAGAATGTGAAGGTTACTATTTCTTTGAAAAACTTTGCATATTTTTAAACAGCGATATCTCATAAACTAATGGTACGAATTAAGATTTTTCTTAAAAGGCTGTAAAGAGAAAGCATTAATTTTTGTGTTAATCAAACTTTTTAATAATTTTAATGGTGTGTCACACAAGGTAGGATTCTATTAAATAAAAGGTTAAGAGAGGTTACCCTCAAGGGATGATACGGGATGAGTCAAAAATGTCTTTGGTTTATTCCTTCTAAACTCTTCGGTATCTATATCTTTATGATAGTGTTTCTGATAGTATTATTTTTTGCTTCAAAATATAAACAAAAATAAAAAGTAAAATATACCGTAAATTATTAATATTTGCATCTCACCTGAAAGTGCCCTTGAGTCCTGCCCTGTGGGCTTCTCTATAACAAGCGTAATCAGCTCCTCGTACACCATGAACATCACCTGTTGCCGGCTCGTTTAGCGCTGCCAATCTTAACTAAAATAGATAGGAAAACAGTGATTACATATTACACACTTATTAAGATTTAAAGATTTATTTTTTCTCTCTTTGAACTTTTGGCAAATAAATAAAGTACACTAGTAAGTATAATATATCTTTGTATAAGCTTATCACATTGCTCCGTCTTCATTTCTTAAAAATCAAAACATTTCCGATTTATACCGCCTTCTTCTTCCTAAAAATAAAAACGTTTCTATGGTATTATAATTCCGTTTTCCTTCTTTGTAAGATTATTATTGACAGAATTTTAATTAATGTCATATATTTCTTACGTTAATCAAAATTAATAATGACCACCTATCAAGGAATGGAATCGAAATTATATTACCATAGAAACGCCTTCTGATTCTTAGAACTTCAACCATATTTTCATGTTTTTTTTTTAAATTTTCTTTTAACCAGTATGGGATTTTGGTTTGGTTTGGTTCGGGTTTGGTTGGTATTTCAAAATTTTTAATGGTTTCGCAGATACACGCAGTATTATTTCATATGGCTCTCAACGATAAAATACGAGAGAAAAATCATTGGGTGGCTTTGATAAAAACTTATAGTGGAAAATGCTATATGAAATATAAAACTACGAATATCTGCAAAACCCATAAAAATTTTGAAATACTCTAAATACAAAAAATGTTAATTTTGTAAGACTCCATCTATTGAGAAAATAATATACAGGGTGTTAAAATTTAAAAAAAAATAAAAAAAAAAATTTATATTTTAGAAAGTTTGACGTAGAATTTTGATCGATCATCCTGTATTATTTACGATCAGCATATTTATAGCAATGTAAATATAGCCTTTCTAAAGTAAATATCTACTATAGTTTTGATTTCAGAACAGTTCTATTTTTTTAAGCAAGGCAAGGCTGAAAAATATATTTTTTTTTATTTATTTATTAATATCTCTGAAACTATCGAAATATATTTACACATATCAAAGGATTTTGTAATGTGATCTGAAAGGAGCAAAAATGCAAAAATATACAGGTTTTTCCATTTAAAAAATCATCCCGATCCAATCACTTTTTTTCGAGCTACCCTATAGAAGTTAAAATATTTTCCTGAAATGCATCCTAGAACATACTTTAGGTTTGCACTTAAAACAAAATTCACAAGTTTTTTATTCTCTAGAATAATCGGGCATCTGTATCTTCTAGCTACAGATGCCCCACGCACTATTGCCAGACCCTGTATATGATTCCCGAGTTACTCCAATCGACGTCCCATATTACTTGATTACAAAGATTTCCATAATAAAAAATAATAATAATTTAATGTAATTTTAACAGAACGGTTTTGTAGACGTAAGTATCTCTGTTTTAAAAATAACTAAAGTGTTCTCGAATAGTTGAATTTAAATATTTTAAATAGATTTTTCTTTATTCTTTGTATAGGTTATTAAGATCGGCAAAAAAAGTTTTTTTAATTTTACTCAAAATTAGTTATTTGGGTCATAAATGACCTAAATACAAAATATTTTCATTGTGTCTGTCTGTCTGTCTGTCTGTCCGTCTGTCTGTAACACGATAACTCAAAAACCGATTTTAACCAAATTTGGCACAAAAATACTGTGGCACTCGACAATCTGGCCATTAGTTTTTGGTGGAGGTGAGAGGTTAGTAAGGGGGTATGGGAGGGGGTTAAAAATTTTAAAAAATCGTAACTCCAAAATTACAGTAGCTAGCGAAACGCGGTTTTCAATTTAAGATTAGGAATAATATTTGCAACAAAATTTGTAATGACATCAAAATCAGGCAAAGTCGCAGTTTTTGAGATAAAAAAAATTCCTTTACTTTGAAACTAAAAGAACTGCCTACGAACTTTTTATTAACATATTTTAGTATGGGCGGCTATACGTGCCTCCCGGCGCCAATTTTTTTGCTTCCGACGACGGAAAGAGATAAACTTTCCAAAACGTTTTTTTGTGCGTTAGGCAAATTTGTATATCTGTAAACCTAACTTCTGACAAGTAGTTTCCGTTTGGGTTTAACGCAGAAGTGTTTACAAAAAATAACTATTTTATTTTGTAGATTTTCTTGCAGTGGCTAAATACCCATATAGGATTTTTTGGAAAAATTTCCATGTCAATACCGAACTAATTTTGTCGTTCCCCTCTTGATCCGATCCGCTAATGTCAGCAAAATATCTCTCTATCCCCGCAGTTCTCAAACTAGCGAAGATGGGGCGGTCTGTATGTACAGCAGATATAGGTTAGGTTTCTATTTAACCGCTACCGCAAATAGATACCGTACGTACGTCACTAATCTTAATTAAGTCTGTATTGAACGTCAATTTGTTAAACTAGTACTTACACTCTTAACATGTTCAACGAACTATGGAGTTGACAAAATTCGGCTAATTTTCTTAATTGATTAACTAGCGGCTTCGTCACGTTCTGCTCGGCGAGAATTCTCTAAAGAAACTGCTATTTTAACTAACTACGCTCCAAGTGATTCGATTACAGCATCGAAATAGAGAAGACTGAATAATGTGGAGGAGGAATGAGCAAAAATCTCGTTTACAAAATAATAACAGCGGTGAATTTAAAAATGTTGTAATGGGGTAGCTTTTCAAAAAAATATTATTAGGGTTTTTACAAGTTTTTGGAAATTCACGACAGGTGAGGTCTGAAATCTTGACAAAAATCTAGACTTCGTCGAAAAGTAAGTATTGACAAGTATGATGTTGACATCTGGTCAACACCATAAAAATGGTAGCAGCTTTGTTATTTTAAATGGAACACCTGATATATTATTTTTCGAAACTACTTTCATATCTGACGATTCTTCTATTATAGTAACCTATACCAATCTCAAATAGTTTTCGAAATAGAAACACGATCTCGAATAAGCATTGGCTAAATCATAAATTCGGCATATTGAAAGCTGAAATATGGTTTACATGTTAAGGAAAGTCGACATATTCGACTTGTCTTAATCAATCAATTGGATATCAAAGAGGATCAAGATCAAGGAAAGGGAGAATCTAAAAAATATTTATTTCTGTTTGTTATAAAATCGCTTAAGTCGTTGTTATTTTAAATGCAAGCCTATGTATATTATTAAAAAAATCGAAACACTAATAAAATTGCTTTTCATCGATATATCATGTTCCTATACATATTGTTCCAAATATTTAAACTTTATAACTATCAATTAGAGTTTACTTGCTAAATTTCTAAAATTTTCATGGTATCGAAATTTTTGAAATGAGACTATAATAATAAATTTATTAATTTTTAAATAGCTCTACTTAAAAAACCGGAAGGTTTGGGTATAGGAACATGATATATCGTTGAAAAGCAATTTTATTAGTCTTTTGATTTTTTAAATAATATATATAGGGTTGAATTTATCGTTTTTTTATGAGATGTCGGCGATTTTATAACAAACGGATATAAATAACTTTTAGCTCTCCCTGTGTATGTGATGAGTTGATTTAGACAGATCGAATATATAGATTTTCGATAACTTATAACCCACATTTCACCTTTTAAAATGTCCAATTCATGATTTTACCAATCCTTATTCAAGATCATGTTTTTGTCAATTTTACATATGTTTTAGTATAATAGAAAATTTATGAGATATGAAAGTAGTTTCTAAAAATGTAACCGCTATACCGGGTGTTCCATTTAAAATAAGGAAGATGCCACCTCTTTTCACCGGTCACGTATGCAGTTCTCCATAAACATCCAACGTGCCATCGCCGTGAATCACCCTACATACTATCTGTTTATTTTTCAGAATATATTATAATTAATGATATATGTAATGTCATCTAGATTACGCAAAATACTTTTGCGTAAATAGCGATTAAATTAATTTATTTAAAACTCGTTTTTTGTTTTTACGAAGATCCTAAACCAAAGTCAATCACGTTGTGCATCTTGAAAAATAAAACGATTATATAAACTTTGTGGTAAAACCAAACTATAAATATACAAAGTGTGTGTTTACATTGTGCTTGTATATCTTAGGTCAAAACAAAGCATGTTCATGTATTTTGGTTAGTCTATTAATATACTATTTTGTCTGATTCTATATAAAACGTCATATTTAACAAAATCAAACAAAAATCTTTCAAATTTATGAGGAAACTTTGAGAATATCGTTATGAGCGTCAAACTTTTAAGCACATTCTTTGAATTATGATGTTTTATTCAATGATCTAATTTTCATCGCATTGTCTAGTCGCAATCAAAACAATTATTTGAATTTCAAATTTGAATTGTTAAAACTTTTTTGAAAAATTAAAGTCTTATAATAGAGCGCCCTGAATATTGTAAATTTGATTAAAAAGTTGAGCTATTTTTTATGAATTCATTGTTTAAATATGTTATTTGATTTTATTAATGTTTCTTGGAATGAAATTATCTTGTTCTAGATAAAATTAGAATTTTATTGATCTTGACAATACAGTTATTATATATATATATATCTCAATGTCTAGCTTTTTATTTTTGTTAAGAAGTTTACAAAAAGGTATTTACAGGTAAGTAACATTAAATTGGCATTAGGTTGGTAAATAAAATGGCTTTGCGTTAACATACCGGCCCCCTTGAAAGATTCAACTTTCAAAAAGTTTAGAAAAAGGACACATCTTGAATACAGGTCTTTATCTTTTACAGGTAAATTCCTGATGTAGATTTAACGTTCACCACTCTCACTACACCATCTTCACCTGATAAGGTACGAACAACTTGACCAAGAGCCCATAAAAATGGCGCTAAATTGTCTTCTTTCAATAGAACAATATCTCCCGTGTCAAGATTTGGGCTATTCTTCTTCAATTTCACACGAGTTTGTACCTCGGAAAAGTAATCAACACGCCAGCGTTTCCAGAACGATCGAACCAACCTTTGCAGATGTTCATAATGGGGTAATCGGTTTTCTTGTAATTTAGTTACATCTTCGTCCGGCAAGTATGAAATCGTTCTTACAATTAAGAAATGGAAGGGTGTTACGAGGATGGGGA